GACTGTAGTCGGCGGGCGACATAAGTCAGGAGGACTGTAGTCGGCTAGTGACGGAGGTCGGAAGGACTGTAGTCGGCGGGCGACAGAGATTAGAAAGACTGTAGTCGGCGGGCGACATAAGTCAGGAGGACCGTAGTCGGCGGGCAACAGAGGTCGGAAAGACTGTAGTCTGACGACGAAGATCAGAAGGACAGCGTCAGGTAAAAGTCCAACAATGGAAAGAAATGTGCAACAGTGGAAAGAAATCCATCTTCGGCTGGTAGACGTCCTAGCGAAGTCCATAACGGTAGAGAGCCGTCAGTCGTGTCATAGAAACTTGTGCGAAGAGTGAAAGGTCCGACATCGAAGCTAGAAAGCCGCGTCTGTTGGTGAGAGCAAGAGAACTCCGGCTTCACTTGGCGGAAGTTTTCGAGCGCAAGAAGCGAACTCTGTTGCAAATGGTGAGAAGAATTCATATCACAGTGGAAGTTTGAAAATGAACTCCTAGCGCTTCAATACCCGAATATCACGCAAAAACCCGGCGTTTTGGGCGAAACTCGCGTCGAGTGAGAGAGGAAGTTCTCCTTCCCCCTTTTTCCTCTCTTCCTTCTTCTTCCTCTCTTCCTCCTCCCCCCCTCTCCCTTGTGAGAATGAGGGCTCTATTTTATTAGTTTCTGATGAGTGGCAGGCTTCTAATAAGGAGATCAGGGCGCGACAATGGAAGTGTTGATGGACGGCTGTTTCGAATCCTTGATCAACACGTTTCACTGCATTTGAAGCCTTAGTTCGGAATCGCGTCTTGGTTCTTTGATTTTGTCTCGATCGAGCGTTTCGATTCGAGTATAAGCTCGCCAAATACGGAGACCGTGTGGTAACTCAAATGTGTTTGACCTTCACACAGCGCTTTAGGTCCTATTTGGACTCATTTGGGCTCGGATTGGAGGTCAATTTGGTGTCTTTGGGTTCGTATTTTCCGAGAGCGCTCAGTTTGACTCTAAGTTTACTAACTCGCAATCAGTGCTCCCGCATTAATTTTGAAGTTCCAACTAGCTTTTGCCTCGAATCATGCCGATCAAGATAATTTTTGCATGACGTATCAAACTTATAAAAAAATTTAAAAATGCTCATTTCAAAAAAATTGCTATCAACAAATCCAGCCGTATCTTATATTTGATGTCTAGTTTTATCGGAGGCAAAGATTCATAACCCATTTCAGAACATCAAAAAAGCATATGTTTAATATATCTAAATATTAAAAATTAAATAAAATATATTAATAAATCATTTTGTGCCTCTAATCGCTCATGCTGGATAGTATTAAATAGCTGAATAAAACAGGTCGATCTCAAGATGTCAGTTAAATTCAATCAGAACCAATCCAGTCTGCAATAGAATCTCTTATATCTAGAAAATTCTTAATATATACTCATTTAATTAAAGATTAATAACATACCTTTATTTAGACATATTTATAGAACCAATTTAATCTCTTCTTCCTTTCCCAATTCTTTCTTCCTTCTTTCTTACTAATTCACCAATCCCCATATTTCCAACAAAAATAAATTGTAGGTTTTGTTTGGCACGGCTTTTTTGCTTCTAAAGAAGCTTTTTAATAATACAAATTTATATATTGTACTAAAAACTGTTTTAAGAAGTAGTAAGAAGAAACGCCATTCCCAAACGAGCCTTAGGAAAAAACTCAACATTTTCAAATTATTCTCAGCATATGAATAAAATTATATTACATAAATTAAACAGCGGCAAAAA